GTGACTCAGGGCCGCAGCTACTGGGCCTGCGCCGTCGACCCAGCCTCCTACCTGGTCAAGGTGGGCGTCGGGCTGGAGAGCAAGCTTCAGGAGAGCTTCCAGGGTGCCGCCGACGTGATCAGCCCCAGGTCAGGCCGCTCTGGCAGGGAGGGGGTGGGGGACCCGGGTGGGGAGCTGGGGGCAGGATGGGGTGGCAAGAGGAGCACAGACTTGCTGGGGTGGAGCTGGGGGGAGACTTAGGAGAAAGCAGTAAAGGCATGGAAGCCAGGACCGGGGCCTGTGGCCAGGGGGAGTGAGGGAGGGGTCGGGGAGGGGCTCTGAGGACTGGGTTTTGGAGTGTGTGGCTGGGGAAGGAGAGGAAAGAAGAGGGAACCACCTCCACTTCCTTCCATCTGTCCCTCAAGATAGACCATCTCTCCCCGCCTCCACGCCATTCTCCGCATATCCCATTTCCAACCTCCTCTCCCCACAAACGCCTTTCTCTCCCATACCTTTTTCACCCATATCTTTTAACGCCCTAAAATTCTCCCCTTAAACTCTCCATCTCCACACCCTCTCATCCCTAACACCCTACTTAACACCCTCCTGCGCATGCCTTCCTCCCTGAGCCCTTCCTCCCAGCTCTCTGCCCAAGAGCAGCTCGGTCCCCAATCCCAATCCTGCTGACAGCTCTCATCCGGGACACCAGTCTACCCTCATCTCTCCCAACACCTAACCTTCCCACATCCTTTCTCTGCGCTTCCTCTCACCAGGACGTAGTCACAAACTCCTCATTCTCCCAGCTTCTCCAGCCCTCAGAACCCTCTCCCCGCGGGATGTCCCCAAACCATACTTCTCACACCTTCCTCCTGATACGGCTGCAGGGTGCTGTATCAACACCTTGTCTGTCCTTTGCCCGATACCTCTCGTGCCCGCGTGACTTCCTTTCAGTGCCCCTTTTCTGCCAAACCACACCCCGACCCCACATTCTAACCCGTCTCTTCAACGTGGTTTCTCCTCAATATCCCCAATCCACCCTTTCAACCAGCATTCTGCACTTCCCACGCCTCAGCCCTCTGGGACCCATCCCCCACCCCCTTCCTCCACCCCAACACCCTGCTACCCCGTGCCCTCTCCTGCAGGTACGACCCGGACAGCGGACACGACAGCGGGGCCGAGGATGCCACGGTGGAGGCGTCGCCACCCTTCGCTTTCCTCACCATCGGCATGGGCAAGATCCTGCTGGGGGCCGGGGCCAGCGC